TAAAGTACCTAGGAATATACTTAACCAAGGATAAAAGACCTCTACAGGGAGAACTATGAAACACTGAGGAAGGAAATAGCAGAGGATGTAAACAGATGGAGCTCCATACCATGCTCGTGGGTCGGTAGACTCAACATCATTAAAGTGTCTATACTACCCAAACTGATCTACAGATTCAATGCAATACCTATTAAAATCCCATCAGCATTGTTCACAGATATAGAAAAAATAATTTTACGCTTCGTATGGAATCAAAGAAGGCCCTGAATATTAAAAGCAATTCTAGGCAACAAAAACAAAATGGGAGGTATTAATATGCCAGATATCAAACTATACTACAAAGCTGCAGTAATTAAATTAATCTGGTATTGGCACAAAAATAGGAATATGGACCAGTGGAACAGATCTGAGGACCCTGATATAAAACCATCCTCATATAGCCATCTAATCTTTTGCAAAGCAGACAAAAACATACGCTGGGAAAAGAATCCCTTTTAAATAATGGTGCTGGGAAAACTGATAGCCACTTGTAGAAGGTAAAGCAGGACCCACCCTTTCACCTCTCACAAAATCAACTCATGCTGGATAACAGACTTAAACCTAAGGTATGAAACTATTAGAATTCTAGAGGAAATGTTGGAAACACTCTCCTAGACATCAGCCTAGGCACAGAGTTTATGAAGAAGTCCCAAAGGCAATCACAGGCAGACAAAAATAAATAAATGGGACATGATCAACTACAAAGCTTCTGCCAGCCAAAGAAATAGTCATGAAAGTAAACAGACAACCTACAGAATGGGAGAAAATTTTTGCATCCTATGTATCTGATAAGAGGCTGATAACTAAAATATACTTAGAACTCGTGAAAATCAGCAAGAAAAAATCAATAACCCTATTAAAAAGTGGGCAAAGGACTTGAACAGAACTTTTCTAAAGAAGCAGAAGAATGGCCAACAAACATATGAAAAATGCTCAACATCTCTAAACATCAGGGAAATGCAACTCAAAACCACAATGAGAAATCACTTAACTCCAGTGAGAATGGCCTTTATCAAAAAGTCTCCAAACAATAAATGCTGGCGTGGATGTGGAGAGAGAGGAACACTCCTACACTGCTGGTGGGACTGCAAACTAGTTCAACCTCTGTGGAAAGCAATATGGAGATACCTTAAAGTGACACAAGTGGATCTACCATTTGAGCCAGCAATCCCATTACTGGGCATCTACCCAAAAAATCCAATGACACTCTACATAAAAGACACCTGCACCCGAATGTTTGTAGCAGCACAATTCATAATCACAAGGCTATGGAAGCAGCCAGGGTGCCCTTCAATCCAAGAAGGGAGTCTTTGATTTGGTTCTCAGTTTGACTGTTGTTGGCATATAGGAATGCTACTGATTTCTGTACACTGAATTTGTAACTGAAACTTTGCTGAATTTGTTCATAAATTCCAGTAGTCTCATGGCAGAATCATTGGGGTTTTCTAGATATAAGATCATATCATCAGTAAAGAGTGATAGTTTGACCTCTTCTGTCCCCATTAAGATGCCCTTGACTTGCTTCTCTTGTCTGATTTCTCTGGCTAAGACTCCTAGCACTATGTTGAATAGAAGCAGTGATAAAGGGCAACCTTGTCTGGTTCCAGTTCTAAGGGGGAATGTTTCCAATTTTTCCCCATTCAGTATGGCTGTGGGTTTGTTATATATATGGCTTGTATCATTTCAAGGTAAGTCCCATCTATGCCTATTTTGTTAAGCGGTCTTATCATAAAGGGATGTTGAATTTTATTGAATGCCTTTTCCGCATCTATTGAGAGGATCAGATAGTCTTTGTTTTTGCTTCTATTTGTGTGGTGAATTACATTTATAGTTCTGTGTATGTTGAACCAACTCTGCATCTCTGGGATGAAGCCCACTTGGTCATGATGGATCATTTTTTTAATAAGCACCTGAATTCGGTTTGCTAGGATTTTATTGAGAATTTTTGCATCTATATTCATAAGTGATATTGGTTTGCAGTTTTGTTGGTTTTTTTTTTGTTGTGTCCTTTTCTGGTTTTTGTATCAGAGTGATGTTGGCTTCATAAAATGGGTTGGGGAGGATTCCTTCCTTCTCAATGTTGTGGAATAATTTCTGCAGAATAGGCACCAGTTCTTCTTTAGAGCTCTGATAAAATTCGAGTGTGAAACCATCTGGTCTGCGACTTTTCTTTTTAGGTCATAAATTTTCTTATCTCCCATTTATTCTCCTAAAAAAATCTATTTGTCTTTTCTAAAGAAACCATTTGTCTGCTCATAGAAGTCCTTTCTCCTCACTCCCTTTCCCCTATTAAAATTGGTATATAAACATTTGTCTATCCTTAGCAGTCCAGGGAGCCACTTCTCTTGTGTGCTCACATGAGCATATGAATAAACTTTACTTTTTCTCCTACCAATCTGCCTAGTGTCTGTTAAATTAGCAAGCCCCAATCACTGCAACTAAGTTGGTATATTAAAATATTTTCCTCCAACACTACAATGTGGATGAACGTCAAAAATATTCTAAATGAAACAAGCCAGTCACAGTAAGTCACATATTGTGTGATTCCTTTTATATAAATTATGCATAATAGGTAAATCTTACAGACAGAAAGCAAATCAGTGGCTACCAGGGGCTGGAGAGAAGGGGGAACTGGAAGTGACTGACTGCTTATGAGTACAAGGAATTTTGGAGCAATGAAATTATTTGGAACTAGATAGAAATGGTGGTGGCACAACTTTGTAAATGTACTAAATATCACTAAATTGTTCATGTTAAAATATGTTATGTTATATGAATTTCATCTCAACAAAATATATAATTTTACTGGGGCTCAATTATGGTGAATCTTGAATGATAGGATAAAGGTCTTAGATTGTGTTCTATTAATAACAGGGAAAATTTCTTAAAATATTTGCTCTTTTACTTTTTCTTTTTCTTTTTTAGACACAAAATCTTGATCTGTTGTCTAGGCTGGTGTGCAGTGGCATGATCATGGCTCATTGAAGCCTCGAACTTGGGTCAAGCAGCTTTCTTCAGCCTCCTAAGCTGCTGGGATTGCAGGCATGAGCCACCACGCCTGAGTCTAAAATATTTTCTTAAAAACAAACCTAACATTTTAAGATGACTAATTTATATGTATTTGTTTGTCCAAGACCAAAACATCCAGTTAAGAAGTAGAGCATTCAATTGACTTTGAAACCTCCCTTTATAAAATTAATAAAGGGCCACAAGGTGGGAACTAGGGTATAGGAAATATATATACATATATATATACATACATATATATATATGTATATATATATATATATATATATATATATATATATATATATTGGGTTGCTTTCCTTTAATTGCTCACTACTCAGGAGTCACATAGCTTATGGACATAAAGCTTCTTAGCTTTCTTCATTGCTCCCATAGATAATTTTACCCTCATGAAGCCTAGGGCTAGTTTTTGAGATATCTTCCAGGCCCTGCATTCTGGTGAAACAGCTTGTCCACCTAGACCAGTGGCCCATTCCAAGGAACTGCCTCAACTGGTCTTGAGACCCCCACCCAAGAACTGACTCAGCAAAGAAGACAATTTTTACACCCCATGGTTCTGCCCAATCCCAGCCAATTAGCAGACTCAATTGCCCAGCCCTTTCCTGGCCAAACTATCTTTAAAAACCCTTTCTCCCAAATTCTTGGATTTGAGAACTTCCTCCTGTCTCCTCACATGGCGCCTGCGATATTAAACTCTTTGTCTGCTGCAACCCCTGCTGTCTGAGTGTATTGGCTTCCTCTTGGCAGCAGGCAATGAACCTGTTAAGGTTGTAACGATTTGTCTAAATGAACTCCCCAATTGTGAAGACTATGGTTTGGGGTGTTTTTTAAAAGTTTTTTTCTCCCATTTAATGAAACTGGCAAATATAGAGCCTAGTTCTGTCTGCATTCATTTATATGTGATCACAGAGGCCCTTTCAGTGTTTACACAAAAAGAACACTTTATGGACACGTGAAATAATAATAGGGTTCTGAAAATGCTAATTTACGATGATGCAAAGATAGCATAAAGGAATATATACCCTAAATGAGAAGCGTGAGAAAAAAAAAGGAGAACAGTAATAGAGACAGAGAAAGTGAGCCAGAGATGCTCAGGTAATATATGATAACTGCCTGGCCTGAGGTTAGGGCTGATGCTGGAGTTTGCCTGTTTAACATGAAAAGGAGGAATCCTGTTTCCTTAAGACTCAGGCAACCTGAGACAGTATTTTAGTGAAACTAAAGATGGAAGAAGATTTCTGGACATTTAGACAAGAGAAGGCCCTGAATCTGTTAACTTACACTGGGCCTCTATAATTGCTCGACATTTACGCATCTTGTGCCCCACACGATTCACGTTCTCGCCCCTGACTTGACAGGGACTCCTACCCGGAGAGGACGAAGGGAAGGAGGGCAAAGGCCCCCAAAGCCGCTACATTCTTCTTTATAAAGCAAAAGCTGCATCCAATGACACCTAACCATTTACTTCTGTATTTTGTTCCTTTGTTCATTTTCTTTAACTACTCAATTACTATAAAGTCCCACAGGATCTCAGCGAGAAACTCTCATCTCCAAGACTAATGGTTGACGCGTTCCATAAACCAAAAGATCAATAAAAAACGCTCAGTTTAGGGCTGCAAAGTGGCTTCTTTCTGACTGAGTGAAATTTTTTTAGCAGCTATTAAGAAAAAACAGTTACTGTCAAAATAAGTAATTCAAAATCTAAGCTGTAGGGAACCTTAAAATACTTTGAGCCTTGAGGGAACGTGATCATGAAACCTGAGTCCGAGGACAGGCAGCTGAAACCCAGGCAGCTGTAGCCTCCTCGGATAACAGGTTGGCCTTCTTCCTTACCTAAAATGTTTTGTAAAATGTTGTAAGAGACTGAAGGGCACCAGGGAAGACCCCTCCCCTCTTAACTGCTGCTCCTCATTATAGATTCCCCTCCCTCTTACCTTTCTCACACAAAGACTTCATGGCAATCATGTTGTCAAAGATGGAATGTTAAAGACACTCTTAAACTGGAAGGAAATGAAAACAAGCTGTAAAGAAAGGAAAACAAACTGTAACTAATTAAATTGTTGTAACTCATAAACTAGCCTTGTATAGAAAATGTTATAATCTTACTAAATTTCTTTTTTTTTCCTGCCTATATAAGCAAGATCTTAACTTTGAACTTTGGAGCACTGACCTCATTTCTCTGGAGTTCATAATTCCCGGAGTTCATAGTTTCCAGATTTTCACTTGAATTCACTCTTTTCTACAACAGAGTTTAGATCCTTTTGATTATTTCAGGTTAACATCATAGATTTATTTTTCAATGCATTCTCATAAACCTCATGCTTATCTTAATGCCAGGACATCCCACCTATATTAGTTGTGTCCGTCTCTGCCGTTAGACCATGAGCTCTCTCTGGAAGTAGGAAATTTTCCATATCTCTGTAACTCCAGTGGTCAGCACACTGCAGAGAGATAGAGAGGAAATGTCCAATTAATGCACACGAACTCCGTCTGTGGTTCACGTGGGCAGACTGCGTGCCTTGCTCTTCGATATATAGTTCCGATGCAGCACAGAGCAAGACCTCAGCTATGGATTTGTTGAGTGAATGAAAAAACAAAGGAATAGGTTAATTAAGGGGTGCATATATTCAGCCATTTTCATTTCTTTGAGCTCTTTTCCAGTAACAAAATTATCCAAATAGAAGTTTAAAAAAAGAGATGGCTGTTTGGACATTTTGTCCATACATTCATTGTCAAAGGTCTGCATGATGGATGTATTTAGATATGTGATACTACAAACATGAATTCAATAAGGTGCATATTACACTTCTTTAGATTTTTCCAAGTAGTTAGGTATAATCATTCTCTTTATGAGCACTATTTGTTAATCCTATTTTATAGGAAAAAAATAGGCTTTCTAATCTACTTTTTTAAATGAGAGCTATTCTGTGCTGGGTAGATGAGTGTGCTGAGTACCTGTGATTTTCCTGCCATCCTTTCTCAGCTAAAGCACCCTCCTGCTCTGGGAAACGACCTGAAATTGCTGCTCATGCATTGCCCCCCAGAGCTTTGTGTCATTGCCGGTAGCTGTGGCCTGGTTTTATGTCTTTAAAGTAATTTTCTTTTGTGCAGAAATGTTCATATACTGTATTAAACCACTGCAAAAGCAATGTCCTTTTCACTTTTTGGAAATGATAGCAGAAGTAAGTGGGGGAAAAAGTAGAATCTTCTAAACTATTTAAAACATACCTTTCTAAATTCACAAACATTAAAAACTTGCTTATCAGATATTTTAGCCACTATATTTTATTAACTGGCAGGTTAATGTAACTACAAAAAGGAATGGTAGATATTCAAAATTGTAACACTGATTTGAGACCTTGGGAAACTTAAACTATATTTAGAATTAGAGAAAATATATTACTATAGAATTGTTTAAGTGTTAGGCATATGCTGTTTTATCCATAGTCTCAATTTTTTTCAAGTACTTTAGTATGAACTATTGTGTGTGTAGATGGATAGATACACTGATGCATAGATATAAATAGATAAAGATATACATGTATAGCCAAAGTCTCAAGTTTATAAATATGTATATAGTGCATAAGTATATAGTATAAACTATTTATATTTATACTATAAGTATGAACTATTGCACATATACATATAAATGTACATAGTCAAAATCTCCATTTTTTAATACTTATAGTACAAATCATTTCTGATATATTTGCTTCTATTTAAAAAGATTTGTGCACACTTTCATTTGTAAGTTTGGAAATATTTGGTTGTTATTATGACAAATGCCAAACCTATGATTATATCACAGTGTAGGAAAAAGTAATTAAGAATTATTATTATTAATGCCAACTGAATTTGCTTTTGTCTTATACCACATTCTCTAAGAGACTTGTTTTCTAGCCTGCCAGAATGTTCTAATGAAGAGAGTGGCTCATGTCACTATATACAGATAATCGAGATTTTTTTTCTATGTGTGAAACATGTTAAAATGTGTGGACTCTGGAAAAATTCTCAGGTTCACCTTGCCAAGAATTTCCTTGCCCATCAGGAACATTTCAGGAAAATCCAAAGCTCAGATTTCTTACTACTTTGCATGTAGTTGTTGCAATGTTCTTTGACAAAAGTTTCTTGATTCACAGCTTGTCTTACGGTGGCTTTCCAAAGTTGTTTTCTTTGAAAGGGAAATTTTTCTTTGCCAACATTAAGCCAATTCTAGGCTTTGGTTTAGTTACTATCTTACATATTTGAATAGAAGATTTAAAATTGGGGTCAGAACAAAGGTACTTACAGTTACTGTTTCCAAATTGAACCACTGTCGGTACCACCAGCCAAACTTGAGTACAAACAGCAGTCCTTAAGAATATGCAAGAAACACGCTGCTCTCTTCCACGACAAAGGAGTTGTAACAAACCTTATGGGTTTGTTACTACATTTTTTCTCAAAAAGATTCCTCTATGAAAATTAAACTAAAAACACTTATGCCATCAAGGTTGCACAAATGTCAACAAATGTTGAATTTGTCATATGTCCACACTTAACTTCCAGTGGTTGAGTATAAGTCATCAAAGAAAATCAAAAGGATATATAGATGTTGCAGAGTGAGAATGTATGCATACAACCCTCGTCACATTTGTGAAGAAATTGATCTACTCTTTAACTGTCAGAGTTGAGATTCACCACTTTCTAAAATATTATTAAACTACACTATCTTAAAGTATAATTTTCAAAAATGTAAAATCAATAATTTCCTACAGATATAAAATGAACATGTGTAAGAGATTGTTTTAACTTAGAAATCAATGAAAAAACTAGTAAGATAATAAAATAAGTCCAAAAGCACTTAAGAATTTATGTGTACTTAGGCAAAGAAATGTTAAAATAAGATGCCTTTGTTACATAAAATAACTGGTTTAACTGCAGCAGGGTTATAGACCACAATCTCTGGATTACCTGATTAATGACAGAAGTTACTGGCATCTCTAAGAGGCAAAAATCTATAAGTTAACCATTGCTTCTATGACAGGTAAATTGCCCAAACAATAACATCAAGCCCAGCACTGCACTGAAAGAACAGCCAATAATCTCTTTTGTGTATTTCCAAATTTCAGGTAAGTTTTCTGATAACTCATAAAATACCTGGGTTTTCTACATATTAAACAATCTTATTTAAGCATGTTCCTAATTACATATATCAAAGTATAAGAATGCCCACTGCCATGCCACAGCAATATCAATTGTCTTAGTCTATTTGGGCTGACTAACAAAATAACTCAGACTGGTAATTTATAAACAATGGAAATTTATTGCTCACAGTTCTGGAGGCTGGGAATTCCAAGATCACGATGTCGGCAGAATTGGTATCTGGTGATTTTCCATGGATGGTGCCTTGGCATACCCTGCATGGGGGGAGGGGCAAACAAGCCCCTCAGGCCTCTTTTATAAGGATACCAATTCATTATGAGGACAGAACCTCATTATCTAATCACCTCTCCAAGACCCCTACCTGTTGATACCATCACACAGGATTAGGACCTTGACAGAAGAATTTGGGGTAACATAAGCATTCAGACTATAGATTCTGCCCTTGGCCCTCAAAATTAATATCCCTTTCACATTCAAAGTACATTTATTCCATCACAATGGCCTGAAAGTCTTAACTTATTCCAGCATCAACTCAAAAGTTTAAAGTCCAAAGTCTCATCTAAATATCCTCTAAGTCAGATATGAGTGAGACTCAATATATAATTCATTCGAAGGAAATGCCCCTCCAGCCATGAGCGTGGTGAAATCAAAAAAGTTTGAGCTTCCAAGATACAATGATGGACAGACGTAGGATTGATATTCCCATTCCAAAGGGGACAAAGGAGAAGGAAAAAAGAGCAAACCAGTCCCAACCCAACAAGGCAAATGACATTAAATCTTAGGGCTTGAGAATAGTCTTCTTTTAATCAATGTCCCAACTTCAAACACGCTGAGACGGGAGGTGGGCCCCCAAGGCTCCAGGCAGCTCCACTCCCATGCTTTGCTGGCACAGCCCACGTCACAGCACTCACAGGTTGGAGTTGCATGCTAGTGGCTCTACCATTCTGGAATCTCAGGGGTGGCCTCTGTGTGTAATGACTCTCGGTGGTGGTCCTGCCCTTTTGGAATTCTCTACCTGGATCTGAGGATTCCCAGGGCACCCCTTAAATCTAGGTGGAAGTAGTCATGCACCCATACTCATGCACTCTGTGTATCCGTAGAGATGGCGCTTTTGGCACTTTGGGATGCTGCCATGGTTTACCACCTGTGCCTTCTGGAAGAGTGGCCTGAGATGCAGCTGGGCCTGTTTGAACTACACTGGGTAGCCAACAAGTGCCCACACCAGGATGCAGGCAGTAGAGGCATGAAATCTTTCTGCCCCTAGTGCCCTGGCATTCTGGGCTGTGATTGGGAGGGCAGCCCAAAATTCTTTAGAATGCCTTTGAAGACATTCTTTCACTGCTTTTTAATTGTTCTATTAGGAACAGGAAATTTCTTAATTATTTCCTTTTACTTTTCTTTGCTTTAAGACAAATCTTGATCTGTTGTTTAGTGGTGTGCAGGGCATGATCATGCATTGAGCCTCGAACTTGGTCAAGGCACTTTCTTCAGCCTCCTAAGTGTGGATTGCAGGCATGAGCCACCACGCTGAGTCTAAATATTCTTAAACAACCAACATTTGAGTGACTAATTTATTGTATTTGTTGTCGACCCAAAACATCCAGATTAAGAGTAGAGCTTCAATTGATTTTGAAACTCCCTGTTAAAATAATAAAGGCACAAGGGTGGAACTAGGGTATAGGAAATATATATAATGATTATATATAGTATATAATTACTATAATACAAATATCATTATATAATTGTTGCTTTCCTTAATTGCTCACTACTCAGGGTCAATAGTTATGGACTAAGCTGCTTAGTTTCTTCATTGCCAGGAATTTACCTCTGAAGCTAGGCTAGTTTTTGAATATCTTCCAGGCCCTGATTCTGTGAACAGCTGCCACCTAGACAGTGGCCATTCAAGGACTGCCTCAACTGGTTTGAGACCCCCCCAAGATACTCAGCAGAAGACAATTTTTACACCCATTGGTTCTGCCGAATCCAGCCAATTAGCAGACTCAATTGCCAGCCCTTTCCTGCAACTACTTAAACCCATTTCTCCCAATCTTGGATCTTGAGACTCCTCTGTTCTCCTCACATGGCGCTGCGATATTAACTTCTTGTGCTGCAACCCTGCGTCGATGTATTGCATCCGCTTGGCAGCAGTCAGACCTGTTAGGTTGTAACGATGTTGTCTAAATGAACTCCAATTTGAGACTATGTTTGGGTGTTTTTTAAGTTTGTCGCCCATTTAATGAAAACTGGAATATAGAGCTACAAGGTATCTGTCTGATTCATTATATGTGATCCAGA